TAAAATAAATACATTTAAATGATTACATGTGTTTTTGCATCATGGCATTGGGGTGGGGGGGCACCCTGTGGAAGCCGGTCCTCTCCTTCTTCTGCGTAGGTTGCAGGGGTCAAAGTTATGTTGTCAAGCTTGGTGGAAAGTGGAAAGTGCCTTTACCACTGAGCTATCTGATTTGCCCTATTTTTTTTTTTTTTAACAAACAATCTTCTGGTATTGTCAGGTTACAATCTGGTAAAGTAATCATAAGTTTGAAATGCTGAAGGTAAAAAATGTATTTAATAGGGCTGGCAAAAATGGCTCCTCAGGGAAGGGCACTGGCTGCTCAAACCTGGCAACCTAAGTTCAATTCTGGGTACTCACATGGTGGAAGAGAATGGATGCCACAAAGTTGTCATCTGACCTCCACACTTGAACTATGACACACATACCTGCTCCCATAATATACATAGATACATATAATATGTTTTAATTTAAAAACGCATGTATGCCAGACAGTGGTGGCACATGCTTTTAATCCCAGCACTCAGGAGGCAGAGGCAGGCGGATGGCTGTGACTTCAAGACCTGAATGAGTTCCAGGACTGGCCCCATAGCTACTGAGAAACCCTGTCTCAGGGGAAAAAAAAAGGAAGGAAGAGAGAGAAAGAAAGAAAGAAAGATATAAAGGGCTGGAGAAATGGCTTACCAGTTAAGATTGTTATTGCTCTGGCAGTGGGTCAAAGTTCAGTTCCCAGCAACCACATCAGGCGGCTCACAATCATCAGTAACTTCAGCTGTAGATCAGAGATTCTCAACTTGTGGGTCTTGGCCCCTTTGGGGGTGACATGTCAGATATCTTGCATATCAGATATTTACATTATGATTCATAACAGTAGCAAAATTAGTTATGAAGTAGCAATGAAATGATATGGTTCCACAGCATGAGGAACTATATAAAGGGTCGCAGCATTAGGGAGGTTGAGGGCCACTGTGGTAGGGACCCAAAAGACTCTTCTGAAGCCTGAGGACACCTTCATTCATGTGCACATGACCACCCCACATAGACACACAATTCAAAACAATGTATTGGACGTGTTTAACCTGCCTGCCATCCTAGCCCAGCAGCCATGTTCACACACGTGATCAGCTAATGCCTGGCAGCTGAACAGGTCAGCAATGCCTACACAAGAGTAAGTCCCAGACTGCGTACTGCTTGGCCAAGAAAAGAAAAACATTCAAAATCTGAATTTCTTCACCAAGAGTTTCTATTGAAAGCATTTCTCTTTCACACTGTCACAAACAGTGTGCTGCTACCTTCCGGGCGAACGCTGTACAGGACTGAATCTTAACCCTAGGGAGGGTCATGCAACCGGTGAGGCAGCCTGTGCAAGAGAAACTGGGATGCACCATTTCCAATCTATACCATATGTCTGCGTCATCAACTCAAAATAAAAATAATTTAAAACTTTGTTTCTTTTTTATTCCCCGGAGGTCCCAATATTTTTTTATTCCAAACCAATTTCCTGCCAATGAGAATGAGTCGGGCAAAAGGCACCTGGTGACCTTCAGAAAGTCCAGGACCCTCTGTGCTAAGAGAAACAACTGAGACTATTCACTGTGGTGCTAAGCTGGGACATCCAGCAGGTTGCGTTATATACATCTTCACAAGATGTCTTCAGTTTGTATTGAGTTTACCAGGATGCAATACTCTAATGCCATCACAGGTTGTGGGGTATCGATGCTGTGTTGGTTTTAAATCATGAGCAATAGAGTCTGCTAATGAACAACCCTAGTTAACAGTGTCTTTAAAAAGAAACTTGGTTGAGGGTAATAGCTCAGTTGGTAAAGTGCTTGCTTGCAAGTGTGAGGACCTGAGTTCAATCCCAGCACCTACATAAAAAAGCTGACATGATGGTAATCCTTATAAACCCAACATTGAGGAAGTAGAGGAAGGTACACACATTTCTAGAGCTTTAGTGTGGGCCCTACCAAGACTGTTCTGTGGTAGGGACTGAACTCTGGACCTTGTGAACACTAAGCACACACTCTAGGATTGATACTTCTCCCAACCACCCTGGATCTATCTCTTACTTAAAATTTTTTTGAGATTTATTTTATTATTTTATGTGGACAAGTGTTTTACCTATGTGTATGTGTGTGCACCATGTGTGTGCCAGAAGAAGACATCAGATCTCCTGGGACTGGAGTTACAGACAGCTGTGAGCCACCATGTAGATTAGGTCCTTTGCAAGAGCAACACATCTCTTACCCACCCTGCTATCTCTCTGGTCACCCCTAGATCTCTTTTATGAGCTGCCTTACCCAGATCCTTGGGTTTGGACAGACATAGGACAATAGAATATGTTTCTTTTCCCGGAGGCTCTTGAATCTTGGGAACACAGCTTACCTGGCCTCCTGTCTGTGATCACACTTCACACTACCTTCTTAGAACCAGCAGAAACTCTGCGGAGGGCTCTGTATTCAGTCCAGACTTCTGGGCTTAGGACTAAGGCTGTTTGCCTTCCCATCTTACCTTTCTCCTGGCCACAGTGATGGCAGCTGACTGACTGCTCCAGGTTCTTTTCTAACTCCCTGCCTCTGCTTAGGCTGCCTCCTCAGCCAGGCACACACTTTGTGATATCCCTTGTACATTGTTCCCAGGATGCCCTCTCAGTGACCCTGACCTACATGTACCTACTGCCTCTCTCTCTTGCATTCCATCCTCAAAGCTCCACAGTCTATTTGCATGTCTCTCTGTAGGTCCGTGAAGTCCCAAGGGCCATACAGGCCCCATTCCCATTTGTGTGACTCTATAGGCCCAGCACATAGAAAATGAATGCTACATAAAATGTTAGTAAATGGATGGACGAACAAATGAATAAACACGTGCATAAAGAAGACAAGACAAGGTCTTCGGATGAAGCTCAGCTGACCGACTGCTCGCCTATGCCTGAAGGTCTGAGTTCAATCACGAGCACCACATAAACTGGGCAATTGAGTGTGGTAGCTCACATCATCAGTACTGTGGAGTGGAGGCAGGAGGACCGAAAGATCAAGGTCACTCTCAGCCTGGGTCAGAGACCCTATCACAGCAGGAGACAGGGACTAGGGGAGGGAGGGGAAAGAAAGAAGGAAGAAGAGAGGGAGGGAGGGAGGGAGGGAGGGAGGGAGGGAGGGAGGGAGGGAGAAGAGTGAGGGCTTACATCTGGAATTCCAGCATTGTCAAGGTAAAGCTGAGAGTGACTACAAATGTGAAGGCAGCCTGACCTACACAGCCGGCTCCAGGCTAGCCAGGGATACCTTAAGCTAGACCTTAATGAAAGCAATCCAAAACAATGAATTAATGAAAGAACATATCAGACAGAATAGGCTCTCATGTCCCAGACACTCTCCCTTTATGATCTTGTCACCTGGCGCTTGGCCTTTTTGATGAGGAAGTGAGGAACTACAATGGTGCTGGAATAGCTTAGTTTTATATTCCCTCATCTTGGGGAGGGCCTGAGTCCAGTTCCCAGGAGTTCTGAGGATGTGTCATTTGGACCCTGTGGGGACTCCCAAGTGTAGATACAAAAAAGCAGTGAGGATGGAGGTGAAAAATGACACATGAGTGATCCTCAGGCTGCAAGTCCCTGCTTTTTTTCCTGACAGTGAGAGACTACTGGGATGTGTGGAGGGGTCAGGCTAGCTTTTATATAAAACAAGAGGTTAAAGCTTACACAAGAGGAAACTGAATGATCAAGAAGTTCACCCTCACAAAGCAGACTCACTAGAGGTGTGTGTGTGAGGACCTTATTATTCATTGTTCTACCCTCTACACTGGATGGTTGGAAGGCAGGAAACCGTTTTATTTTTCCAGGATTCAGCATAGAGCTTGGAGTTCAATTGATATTTGGAAGATGCATGCATGGATGGATAGATATGTGGATAGGTAGATAGATCAGTGAATAGTAGGTGAGTGGATAGATGAATGGATAGATATGTGGATAGGTAGATTGATGGGTAGATAGATCAGTGAATAGTAGGTGGGTGGATGGATGAATGGATAGATATGTGGATAGGTAGATTGATGGGTAGATAGATCAGTGAATAGTAGGTGGGTGGATGGATGAATGGGTGGGTGAATGACTGGATGAGCAGACAGACTGACAGATGGATGGATGGATGGATGTGGAGTAGTAAATGGGTAGATAGGGAGATGAATAGATAGGCAGATGAATGAATGGCTATGTAGGTTAAGTGAGGAGATGGATATGTGGGCGGAAAAATGTATGTGTAGATGGATGTTGGATGAACAGATAGATGAGTAAATGCTTGGCTGGTATGATGGTTTGAGAGATGAACAATCAGAATGAGATAAGGATAGGAAAACAGATAAAAGGATGAACATACAGGGAAGTTTATAAACTAGGAAGACTAGATGGGTATTAACATTTCAGGGTTGGGGAAACTGAGAAATCTGGGCTGGGAACACTTGTCTCTAGGGATCTGGAAGCAGCTGTGGTACTTAGCTGGGAGGGGAGGATATAAAAAGCCAAGGCCCTTTCCAGGTGGAAGGGAATCCCCCTTGACGCACCAGGAAAAGAGATGTGAGGTGCTAGACCCAAGGTCCACTGTGGACCCTGACTGGTTTAGGTAGAGCTAGGGTTGCAGGGTCTACAGGAAGAGTGAAGTCTGGCAGCCTTGGGATCAAAGTCCTCCACCAGCCAGATTCACCCTAGAAATTAGGGACCCCGTGCCGTCACTATTTTGACCCCCAAAGGATGACTCGGCCACAATAGGGGCCTGAGAAGAAATTGGTGTTATTGGGCTGAAAGACTAGTGGACAACCTTAGAAGGCCTAGCGACTGGGCCAGCAGAGGCCTTCTGTGGTTCTGCTAGCCTTTCTCCCTCCCAGCCCCAGTTTCCTCTGGGCAGGGGGCCTGGCCCCATAGCCTCCCAGGGCAGCCCTTTGAGCACCACCTGCCTCAGTCGGCCAGAGACTTCCTGTAGCGCAAGAGATTTATGCAAACGGGCTGGGGCGGTGATGTCACCCCAAGGGGACTATCTCCCAGTGGCAGGCCCTTCGATAAAATCAGGAACTTGTGCTGGCCCTGCAATGTCAAGGGAGGGGGCTCACCCAGGGCTCCTGTAGCTCAGGGGGCAGGCCTGAGCCCTGCGTCTGACCCACGACCGTCCAGCCCCCCGACGGGGCATCTGGTCCTGAGGGGATCCGCACTGATCCCCACCGAGGCAGGGGATCTGACCAACTTGGAGCTCAGCTGGATGTTACAGGCGTGCAAAATGGAAGGGTTTCCCCTCGTCCCCCCTGTGAGTACTGGGGCTTCACTAGCTGCTCAGCCTAGGGCTCTGGGATGTGTGACCATCTGCCCACTAACCGACCCACTGTCCTCCGGCTCCCTATCAGTGGGAAGTCGGTGTTTCCTCCCCGGAGCTGCTGGTCTGAGACCCAGTGAGGGGCCATTGGCTTCCTTAGAGCATGCCCTGGCGGGCTGAGGGTTGCCGGCTGGCCCCATGGTGGGGCTGTGATCGGTGGGGCCTGAACAGCTATTTATAGGTGGGGCTCAGTGGTAGGCCAAGCACTAGGACAGGGTACTGGCCTGAAGACGGTGAGGGCGGCTACTGGGAGGCCATGGATAATGAGATCTGGACTGGCCTAGGGGCCACCGGAGGCAGCAGGAAAGGTTTCAACCCATGACCTGTGGGCTCCTGAAACAAAGGCTGGTGGAACTCTGGGTCACCCATGGGTCCCCAACATTCAGTTTGGGGCCTGACATACAGGAATGGCGGTTGATCCAAGTATTTGGGCTTTGGGCCTACATGGACCTGAGAGTCTGGGGGCAGTGGCCAAGGCTGGGCAATAGCAGAGCATTGGCAGAAATATGGCAGTTAAATTTGTGACTAGGGCTGGGCTCAATAAGAAATTGGGTGAAGGATGGGCCTGGGACCAGAATGGGACTGAGATTGGCACTGGAGTAGGACCTAGATTGATTATTTGATTATTGGACTGCAGTTAGGGTGGAACAAGGCAGGGGCACAGCAGGTGGGCAAATGTCCTCTGCTCCTGTTTTCAGTGAAGGTGGCAGCTTTAGGTAGAGAGCAGTCATAGTCCCTTGGAGACAACCCTCTGGCTTTCTCCTGCCCTTGGAGGTGTTGGGACAGTGAGGAAGGGCTGAGCAGTGCCTGCCCACCTGACTCAGCTTTCCCGAATTAGAGGCCGATCTCTCTTCTACCCCACCCGACCTTAGAGCCCTAGCAGGCACCCCAGGCCTGACATCATAGGCAATGTCCTGCAACAGGGCCAGGCCCAGTGTGTTGCCTGGAAACCTAGGGAAGGGGGGCAGCTTCTGCCCTCCTCACAGTATAGTAGACAGGGCTGGCCAGACTTAATGTCCTCACCCTCATCTTGATCTTCTCCCACCTGGGATGCAAAAGGTGTTAGGGCAAGCATGGGTAATGAAAGTCGTTCCTGAGAGGGGCCACTCTGCCCCAAGTAAAGCCACTCTCCCTGACCCTTGACCTCTCTCTCCGGAACACCAGGCAGAAATAGGCAAGGGGAGGACCTTGAGCTCCTACACCAGCTCCTTAACCCCTCTCTCCAACCCCAGAGGCCGTTCCAAGTGTCTCTAGAGTGGGTGGGCTCCCAAGGCAGCACTGGCTCACCAAGCAAGGCCTGAAGGCCACAGTAACTATTGTGCAATCCTTGGGCACACTCTGCGGGGGTGGGGAGAAGCCGGGTGACTGTCGGGAAAGCTCAGAAAGCTCGGAGTGCACATCCCTGTGCCCAAGCAAGTGAGAGAGGGTGGGAAAGGAGATGGAAGAGACGCAGGGAGAAGAGAAAGGAAGCTAGAGGAGGGAGAGGAAAAGGGCAGGAAGGTGAGGACAAGGAGCAGGGAAGAGAGAGGGGAGGAGAAAGTAACGGGCAGGGAGTCTTCCATCAAAAGATACTGAGGGAGAAGGGACAGTCAAGATCCTCCATCCCTTGACTCCCCAAACTGGCCTGGGTGACCTTTGTATAAGTAAATCATCAGCATGGTAGTCATTGTGACAGTTCTGTGCCTGCCCAGGGCTGAGCTGACAGAGGCTAACAGTGAGAGCGGGGTGGCAGAGAGACACAATGTTGTGTTGGGAGAGTGTGCAGGTGGAATGTGGGTGGCTCCGTGAAAGGCTGTGTGGACCGACTGAAGGCTGGACTTCTATGTGAGCATGTGTGTGTCAGTCTATATGTATGCCTTCAGGGTGGGTACACAGTGGTGTGTCTCTGACTGGTCCTAGGAGTGGATGGAAAGTGTTGTATGAAATGTGAGACTCATGAGGGGGTGAGCACACCTGTGTGTGAAATATAGACAGGAACCCAAGAGCGAGTGTGTGTACACGTGAGAGTGAGTCTGCGTATGGGTTTGGGTGTAAGGGTGTCACAGGAAGTATTTGCACACTTGGGGGAAGGGTGCATCGGTGTGAATGGCAAAGAGCAGTATGTCCCCACAGGCATGGGTGTAAGTGTAAGGGTGTTATGGAGAATGAGCCGAAGACAGGAGCGGCTGCACCTTCTTCTCAGCCCTGGTTCTGTTGACCTCTGACCTCTCTGCCCCACTTCCCTGAACCTTCTACCGTTGCCTAACCCCCTGTATCCCTGGGCACTCTGGATTCTAAGCAAAGGATGGGTTGTTCCCAGGTGCCTCAGGCAAGAAAGGTTATGGGTTTCAGACTTAGCTGAAAATCTCGCTGGAGTGTCCTCAACAGTTCAGGCTCTGATACCTTCCTCTCTCCACAGCCATCGGAAGAGCTGGTTACTTACGAACCTGAACTATACCAACGCCAAACACAAGACTTCTACTCCTTTATTGGCAGTGATGGAGACAGCCACAGTGGTGAGTACATTGTCCACCACACCCCTCATCCCAGCCTGGACTGGGTGCTGAACATGCCTGGGGCTGGAAAGAGACAATGACTCCTTGAAATTCTGAGAATAAGATGAGGGCAGCCACATCATCCCTGTATTTTTCAGCTTCTGCCCAAGCCCTTGTTATTGAACATCTTCCCTGTCAAGGGCAGATTTTGTTTCTTTCTCATTTACCTTGTCTGATCCTTGGGGACTTTTTAAAAAGATAGCTTTATCTTCATACGATATATTCTAATTGTAGTTTCCCCTGCCCTAACTCTCCCCAGATTCTCCCTACCTCTCCACCATTCAATTATGCACCTTATCTTTCTCTCTTTCTTTAGAAAGAAAATAGGCATTTAAAAAATAAGATAAAGTAAAAACATGCAAACTAGGATAAGAGAAAACAAACAAACAGAGAGAGAAAAAAAAAAGAGCCAAAGAAAAAGCACAAGAAACATATATAAACGTAGAGACACGATCTCCGTGAGTTTAGGGCCAGCCTGGGCAAGAGCGAGTTCCAGGACAGCCAGGGCTACACAGAGAAGCCCTGTCTCAAAAAAACCAAACCAAATAACAACAACAAAATAGAGACACACATTCACAAATATAAAAGACCATAAGCTTTAAAAAAAAAAAAAAAAAAAAAAGTTCCCAGACAAAGCACTGAGACAAAAACGCCTCCAAAGACACCACTGTGTTTGTTTTGTGTTGGCCATTACTGCCTGGCATGGACCTGCCTTCAAGTGTGGCTTATATGCCTGGTGAGACTCCACTGAAGAAAACTAAACTTTCCTTTGTGAGCTGTTATCAACTGGAGATAATTTCTGGGTTAGGGATGGGATGTTTGGTCCACTTCCCCTCAAACCCTGGGACCCCATCTGGCTTAGACCTGTGCAGGCCTGTGGACTTTTAAGGAATGACAATAGGCTGGGAGCCTGAGTGACTTGACTAGGCCAGTGGATTCTGACCGGGACAGTCTCCCCCATGCTTGGTCCTTTTACCTGACCACTAATCCCACCTTGTCCTCTCTTTGCTTGTTACAAGCTCACATAGAATTCCAGCCTTCCTGCTCCACACAGCCTTTCACAGAGCCACCCACATTCCACCGGCACACTCTCCCATACTACATTGTGTCCTGCTGCTACGGTCTGCCCAGCCCACTCCTCCCTCATTGTTAACCTTGGTCAGCTCAGCCCTAGGCAGGCACAGGGCCATCACAGTGACTATCATGCTAATGATTTATTTGTACAAACGTCACCCAGGCCGATTTTGGGAGCCAAGGGACAGAGGTCCTTGACTATTCAAAACTCCCTTCAGTGAGCCCATCTGCCTTACTGTGTGGCTGGTGGCCCCTACTGAGATTTGGAGCTTAGTAATTCTGTTCATAAGAGGCTTAGCAACATTTTTTTTTTTTTTTTATCTCTTCTGCTAGATGCCAGAAGGGCCACCAATCATGACAGCCATCTCTCCAGTCCCCCACTGGGTGAACAATGCTGGGCCAAGGGAAAGTCTCTGACCATCCCTTGTTGGGCAGACACCAAGGCCCTGGAGTCTGTTGGAGGTGGGGAAGAAGTCTGGCCCCAACTGTCCACTCAAACCCAGCCTTGTTCTGCAGCAAGTGAAGGGGAGAGGGATCAGACTCTTAGTGACTGGAACCCGGGCAAGGAGGTAACAGGCCACCAGAAATGGATCTTGGCTTCCAGATCCTGCATGCTGCATCTGGAGACTCAAGGTCAGAGAAACACAGTGACACAGCTGAGGGACACCTCACACCTGACAGCCACAGCCAGGGCTGTTGCACAGTTCAGGCAAACACCTTCTTCACCTGCCATCTAACATTAAATCTTCCTGGAAGTGTACCCTACGGGGAGGTATATCCACCTCAAGGGCATGGGCTCTTTCAGACCCCCAGTTCGAGAAGGGCTTTCAAATGCACTCTTTTGTTCTTAAAGGTATTCAAAGGGTCTAAGAAATACCCACACCCTGGGTGACATCCAGATAACATAGGCTCTTTCTCATCCTACGTTATCCCAAGTTGTTCCCCTCATCTAGATTAAGAACCAAGTCTGAGTGACATTGATACCGCATCCATCCTTCCAGCAGGCAGTTGGAGGGCTTGAGGAGGGCTCCCCCTGGAGGTACTGCTCTACAAGCACAGCCGGGCTCCAAGCCCCTTTCTCATCCTGGCTGCTTTCCCTTTGGCCTGATCCCATGTTCGGGCCTCGGGGTTTGAAGGCATTTCCTTCAAGTCTTTGGCCACTTCAGGTTTGCCTTTACACAGTTGCCCAAATATCTAGAAACCACATGGGGCTTGGGTTTGGACAGTGGAGTGAGCACCTCACAGGAAGCCTGGGACCCAAGGAAGTCTTGGCTCAGGGACCCAAGTGGGTTCCTTGTATCTGGGGTAGGGCTATATGAATGACTCTTGGTGGTCATCATGGAATTCTACTTAAGGCATGCGCCCAGAATTCCTTCAGACACTTTCCTGTGTCTCTGAGTTTCCTGTCCATTCCCTACCTCTGCCATCATTACCCATCTGAGTAACAGTGCTGTCCCTAATACCTACTGGAAGTTACTGGAGAATACTCAAGAAAAGTCTTCTGTCCTTCACATCCATCCCTAATACTGGAAGTTACTACAGAAGACTTGAGGGAAGTCTTCTGTCTTTGTCCTTCACATCTATCTGTTCCTAATACCTACTGAAAGTTAGAAGACTCAAGGAATGTCTTCTGTCTTCCATGTACATCCAGTGATTTCTGCCTGTCTTCCATGTCTTTGTCTAAAGAAAGTGATGCTGGGCAGAGACTTTGGGGTCTCAACAGCTGTTTCAACAGCTGTGTCACTTTGAGGCAAGCAACCTCTCTGTAAATTTGAGATCATGGAAGCACCTTAGAATTGTAACAGGCCAATGAGGTGACATGTATCCACTATGAGGTTGTGTGTACCATGCTGAACAGGACAAGGGGGCTCAGCACATCTTGTCAGCATGTTGGTATCCCAAACAAGCTGCTAGGCCCTCAGTGGTTCTTACCCTTCCTAATGCTGTGACCTTTAATAGTGCCTCATGCTGTGGTGACCCTCAATTATAAAATTATTTTATTGCTACTTCATAACTGTAATTTTGCTACTGTTGGGAATTGTAATGTAATATCCGATATACATGATATCTGATATTTGACCCCCAGAGGGATCACAAGCCACAGATTGAGAACTACTGAGCTGGGAGAATGGGAGAAGGACAGAGGCCATCTAGGCCACTGTTTATTGACTTGGATGACAGCCATTCATCCTTCACCCATCCATCCATCCAACCATTCTTCCTTCCATACATTTCCTTTCTACCCACCCGACCACTCATGTGCTCATTCTGTCATCTACCCACCCAATCCACATTCATTCTACCAACTTCTTGCCTCTCAGTTTACATGTCTCCTCCTCTACTCATCAATGTGCAAAAGCCTTGCTCACATGAATGGTCTGGAAAGCCTTTGAGAGGGTAATGGGTGGGTTGAAATCTGAGTGAAGAGAAGGGACCATGCATGTGAGGTAGAGAATGGCAAATTCAAGGGCAGGAAGCCCTCAGCAGAAGGCACAGGGCTACAGATCACTAGGAGACAAAATGAAGCCAGAGTGACCATCAAGGGGCCAATCACAAAAGGCTTGAAGGCCATGGAGGAGTATGAGTTGTATCCTGTGTCTTCACACTTGCTAGGCCAGTTCTCCACCAGTAAACTATGATAACCCTACTTGAGAGTTCTCAACAGGGAAATCATATGATCTGAATAACCTTATGTGTGATGAAGATGAAAATACACTTATATTTGTGTGTGTGTGTGTGTGTGTGTAGGTCAGAGAACAACTTGTGGGTGCCATTTTGTCAGCCTTAAATACATTTTCAAAACTTAACTTTTAACTATTAAAATGACAAATACACAGGGACTGAAGAGAAGGTTCAGCAGATATGAGCACCAGCTGCTCCTGCAAAGGACCCAAGCTTGGTCCCCACGTAGTGACTCACAGCTGTCTATAACTCATGAGCACCACATATGCACATGGTGCATTGACATGCATGCAGAGAAAATACTCATGCACGTAAAATAAAAACAAATAAATCTTACAACAACAAGTTCTCAATGTCTCAGTGTAAGGATCTAGTGTATGAAGAAGAGCCTTCACAATCCCATGTCCCCGCTTCTGACGGCACTGTATTTTGCAGAGACTCTGTCTTTCTGTGTGTTTGATATTGTGTGTCTTGTCAGTGTGCTCCTTCAGAGCATTGGGATTTCAGGTGGCTGCCACACTCCCACTAGAGTTTATGTGGGTACTAAGAGTTGAACCAGAGTGCTCATGGTTGGGTGCCCATGGCTTTATCCACTGAGCCATTCCCCAGCCCACAGACACTGACTTTTGCTGACAGCCTTCTAGCTGTTGAGCAGGTATGTATGGATCTGCTTGGTCTCCCAGTTTGATACATGTAGCCTGTTCATGCAGGCTGTGAAGAGGAACTTTTTTTGTTTGTCTGTTTTTGAGATGGGTTTCTCTGTCCTGGGACTCACTCTGTAGATCAGGCTGGCTTCAAACTTACGGAGATCCACCTGCCTCTGCCTCCCGAGTGCTGGGATTAATGGTATGTGTCACTACTGCCTGGTCGAAGAGAAACATTTGACAACCATTCACAACACACATGGTCACATTTCTGCAGGCTTCCCACTCTTGTATGGTAACTCATTGTTATGACCATGTGACTATGACACTTGAGCCACAGTGTCCTCTGATTGTCCACTCTACCTTTTCCCTGTGTTTCTCAGTAGTTCAGTTGTGTTGAGAGGCAATAAGAACCCAGACAGCTATGTGGGGCGTCTTGTCTGTGTCTTAACTTTTCCATAATGACACCCACTTTTCAGGATTATTATAAGGACAAGGTGAGTCACTATATACAAAAAGCCCAGGACAGGTCTTATAGCAGGTGCTCTGTCAGGAGTTCCAGAGAGGCCATGTGGGAGGTGAGGTATGGCTGAGCCATGGTGTTGCCTCTCTCCCGGTCTATTCCATGTGCTTACCTGGTAAGCAGCAGTTTGGCTACGTCAAACTTTAGAGTGAAAAAAAAAAATCTTGTTTTCTGCTAGCAATTTGAAAGCATTTCTCTACTGTCTTCCAGTTAGTACAGTTTTTCTTATCTGACACCATTCTCTTGTTTACACTCTAGATTGTTTTGTTCATTTATTTTGTTTTTCAAGTCAGGGTTCCCCTGTGTATCACTGGCTGTCCAGGGACTCACTCTGTAAACCAGGCTGACCTCAAACCCAGGGATCTACTTGCCTCTGCCTCCTGAGTGTTGGGATTAAAGGCACATGCCACCATGCTCAGCTATAATCTAGATTTTTATTTTATTTTTTACACTTTTGTCTCTCTGGAAGTTCTTCTCCTTTTCTTTCCCTCTCTCCTTACCTCTTCACAGTCCTTCCCCCACCCCATACCTTTCTTTCTCTCTTGGGCCTCACCATATACTCAGGCTAACCTCAAACCAGTTATCTCCCAAGAGGCAGAATTAAAGGTATGCACCACCACAATTTTAAATGGTCCCATTGGTTGCTGAATAGGCAACAGATGAGAGGGAGACTGGGATGGGATCTGGATGAAGGGCACTTAGAAAAACAGGCATTGCTCCATCGTTTTCCTAATGCAAGACACAATGGAGGCTGGGGCAAGAGTAGTGGCAACAGAGACAAAAAGAAATAGACATAAGGCCAGGGAGGTGGCTCAGTAGGCAAGACTGTTTGCTATGCAAGCATAAGGACCTGACTTGCAATCCCAGAACTACATAAAAGTCAGGTATAGCTACCGATGGCTGCAACCCTAGCAGTAGGGTCGGATCCTGAGAGCTTCCTGGCCAGCCAGCCTAGTCAGAATGGGTGAATGTCTGGTTCAGTGAGACACTCTTTCTCTTTTCTCTCCTCCTCCTTCTCTTCCTCCTTCTACTGAGATAGAGTTTTGCTGTGTAGCCTTGGCTGTCCTTGAACTCATTATGTAGATCAGGCTGGCCTCAGACTCACAGAGATCTGCCTGCCTCCCCTCAAGTACTAGGTGTACACCACCATGATCAGGGAGAGACTGCTTCAAAGAAAAAAAAAGGTGTAGATTGACAGAGAAAGACCCTTGAAGTCCCCCTCTGGCTTCTGCATGTGCACACTCATCCACACACGCACATATATGCAACACACACACACACACACACATACACACACACACACACACACACTGAAACAAAAGGGTTAGACATTGCCGGTAGTCACAAGCCTGGAGTCTATTCAGCTCCACTCACCCTACTTTGCAACTATCTTGCCTTCCACCTACCAAACCTTCCACCCACCTCACATTAACTTTTCTGTATGATAAATACAGCAAGTGTCTTTTCTGTGCCAGGCTAGATGAGGTGCAGTGAATAGGATGCAGGAACTGTCAGATTCAACTTTGTGTCAGGGGAATAAAAAAACTTCAGTAACCAGGATACATAGTATCTAGAAACGAGTGCCATGAGCCTTTTGCTCTCTGGGCCTCCAAAACATATGTGCAGGCTTTTCCAGAGGGGTGCTATCTGGCAGTGATAGCAATCCCCTAAGAAGTATTTTTTTGGGGGGGCTATTTTCTTGATTCCTCATCTTTGCTTTTTGTTGTTTTGTTTTGTTGAGACATGGCTTCATATGACTTAGGCTAGCCTTGAACTTGCTTATAGTTAAGGAAGGCTTTAATGTTCTCTTTTATAAAGATTTGTTTTTGTTATTTTTAATTATGTGTAGGTGTATGTGTCTGCATGTGTGTGTACATGTGAGTGCATGTGTCCTCAGAGGTCAGGGGTGTTAGATCCCTTGGAGCTCAAGTTATGGATTGCTCTGAGCTGCCTGATATGTGTATTGGGAACTGAACTCAGGTCCTTTAGAAGACAGTGAGTGCTCTAAACACTGAGCCCTCTCTCCAGTTCCCAGTCTTCGGTTTTGAAAGTACTTTGATTTTTCTGGGAATAGCTCCGGGTTTCAGGCTGGGATTTCTGTTCTGAGGATAAGGTCATCTGAGTGACTCTTATGGCTTGATGTTTTGTAATCTGAATATCACCTTGTTTTTGTCCTAGTAACAACTATGTAAGAATAGGGATGAGGGGTTAGAAAAATAAAAGATCAATTATGCAGTGGTGGTGTGATCCTTTAATCCCAGCACTTGGAAGGCAGAGGCAAAAAGATCTCTGTGGGTCTGAGGCCAGAGTGGTCTATTGAGTGAGTTCCAGGGCAGCCAGAGCTACACAGAGAAACCTGTCTGGAAAAAAAGAAAGAAAGAAAGAAAGAAAGAAAGAAAGAAAGAAAGAAAGAAAGAAAGGAAAGATCAAGACAAATGGATTCCCAGGTGTAGTGGTACTCAATTGTGATCTCAGCACATGGGACCAGCCTAGCTCATATATCAAGACCCTGTCAGGAAAAAAAAAAAGTGGGCTCTCTTTTTGGCTGGGTGAGTTACAAGCAGCTGATAGGTAGATGGAGGTTGTGTGATGGGTGGCTAGATACGTGGATAATGGTTGGATGGACAGGTGGAAGAGTAGAGGTTTTCAGGGGCACCACAGGTCTTTTTTAAAGCTAACATACTTACAGCAATAGCTTTGATTTCCAGAGTGGCACAGTTTAGTAAGAGTTCATCCTCTGGAATTACACAAAAGTAGGTTTGGAACATAACACCACGCTACCAGTGGCCACTATAAACAAAGGACTTAACCTCTTCTTTCTTTCTTTTTTTCTTCCTTCCTTCCTTCCTTCCTTCCTTTCTGCCTGTCTTTCCTTCTCTCTCTTTCTCTTTTTTAAATTTTGAGACAGTGTCTCTGTATGTAGCCATGGCTGTTCTGGAACTTGCTATGTAGACCAGACTGGCCTCAAACTCACAGAGATCCACCTGCCTTTGCTTCTCAAGTGCTGGATTAAAGGCAGGACATAACCTTTTGAGTCACAGCTTCCTTAACTGTCAAAAGGAGGGCCCACTCTAGCCTGTACCTCCTCAGAGTTAGAGTAGAGCTTAAAGAAATAAAGTAGGTTACAGTCTTAGCACAATGCTTGGTGCACTCAAGCATTGAGACCTTCTGCATGATGGATGCCTACAGGCTGTAGAAAATGGACATGAAGCTGTCGCCAGAAATGCAAATTACATGATGATAGTCTCTGAAGAGCAGAGAGTTATGCTAATGGGGTGTGTGAGTAGCCTCTAGGCAGAAGATAAAGTGGCACAATAAAGGGACAGAACAAAGTTAGACACTGCGTTCATGAAGAGTTGTCCAAGCCAAGTGTGTTGGTACATGGTGGTAACCCTGGAACTTGGGATGTAGACACAGGAGGATGAAGGCTTCAAGATCATTCTCTGCTGTATAGCAAATCTGAGGCTAGCCTGTGCTACATGAGACTCTGTTTCAGAGAGAGGGAGAGAGAGAGTTGTCTAGAACCAAGCATGATGGTTCAAATCTGTAATAAAGCGAGAGGATTACCATGAATTAAAGGCTATCCTAGGTTACATGGTAAATAGTCTATAGCCTGGACTATAGAGTGAGACACAAGAAATGAGCCTGAATGGCTAACTTTTGTTCTTTGAATGATTTGTTGAACTTCTCTCTGGGACCTGTATTTGAAATGTGTTTGCCTACCAGACTGTTGGTTACATAATTGCTTGGGCACCCAAATCAAGGGGAAAGGTGAAGTTTTGAAACCATTGTAGTTGAGGGAGTGTGGGTCATTGCCTTCAGGAGACTGAGAACAGAGGGCAGAGTCTCACATTCTCCTGCTGTGCTTCACACTCTTGTTATCCACAGTAGCTTTGGGAAATGCTAGCCTTAGGCTTCAAATAGCACAGTGAGCTAGTAGAGGTGTGGTGGGGCTGCAAGGCCTTAGGCCAGAAGCCTTTCAGCTCACACCTAGAGAGCTGCAAACATTCAGGGTTCCTGTCCCTGGAGCTGGAGTCGGCTGGGGATGGACAGGGGAAGGTAAATGGCAATGGCCAGGAAGGTGTTGAAGCTGACCTACTGAAGAGGAAGCTGGGTCTGCAATCCAATCCTAGAGCCCTGCTCTGCCCTTTCAGGTTTAATAACCTTTGTTTTTGGTCCTGGGTCTTGAACCCAGGACTTTGTGCACTGGAGGCAAGTGCTCTACCACTATGCTATAACCCTAGCCCTTTTTGTTTTTGTTTTGAGATAAGATCTTGCTTTCTAGCCAAAGGCAGCCTCAATCTTTAAAAAATATTTTTATAGCTGGGCATTGATGGTGCACTCCTTTAATCCCAGCACTTGAGAGGCAGAGGACAGCCTGGTCTACAGAGCTAGTTCCAGGACAGGCTCCAAAGCAATACAGAGAAACCTTGTTTTGTGGGAAGAGGTTATTATTTCTCTCTCTCTCTCTCTCTCTCTCTCTCTCTCTCTCTCTCTCTCTCTCTCTCTCTGTGTGTGTGTGTGTGTGTGTATGTGTGTGTGTGTGTGTGTGTGTTTTAGGAACCCAGAAGAGAATGTTGAATCTCCTGGAGCTGGAGTTACAGGAGATTGTGAGTTGACATACAGGTCCAAGGAACTCAATGCCCTGTTCCCTGTAATAGTAGCAAGTGCCCTTAACCACTGAGGTATTTCTCCAGACTTTGGCTTCAAACCTTTGTTTCTGACACAAAACATAGCCTGGAATGCATGCAGATAAGGTAGTCTTGAACTTACAGAGGTCAGTCTGCCCGTGCCTCTGGAGTGCTGGGATCAAAGGTGTGTGTCACTATGTAGCTTGCCCTTGGTCTCTACTTTCTGATTGTTGAGAATACAGACGTGCTTACATAGGCTCTGCAGACCAATCGAGCATAATGAGACCAAGTGTTCTTCCTTTACACCAGGCTTTATTCAAAGCACATGTAACTCACTATCACTCACAGTATATGGATAAGATGGGTATAACTTATCAGACCCATTCAGATGAGGAAGCTCATGCCATGCAGCAGTAAATGTTGCAGCTGGGGTTTGAATGCAGCTTCAAGCTGTGTACTTTTTCTTTTATGTGCCACATAGCCTCCTAGAGGTGGGTCCCTGTTGCCTGTCCCAAAAGATGTTGCACGGGAACAAGAGCTTAGTAACGACCTCTTAAGCAGGGGAATGGATAACAGAATCAGTGGGAAAAAAAGTCTAAGGCCACACAGCACAACACCACTGAGCAGGATGAGGAAAAAGCCAGGCTTGTAACCCTGAACCTCAAGAGGCTAAATCTGGATGGTCACAAGTTCAAACTCAGCCTGGATGAGACCCTGTCTCAACATGGATGGGTGAAACAGCTCAGCAGGTAAAGGCACTTATCTCCATCTTCAGTTTGATTTGGGACCCCTGTGGTGGAAGGAGGGAACCAACTCCTGAAAGTTGTCCTCTGACCACACATGCACAGTATATTTTCCCCAACAAATAATAAATAAATGTAATTTTAAGAAGAGTCCTGTGATACCTACTACATAGCTGCAAAGCATATGTCATTTCTTAGGGGATATGTGGATAAGGATGTGTTTGTACAGTGAGAGACAAAGAAAAAGAAAGAAGACGATAGCATGCATGTCCATATGCAAATGTTCCTGGTGGACTCGCCCTGGTCTGGCATCTTCCACACTCCTCCTTTAGGTCACATAAGGAAACCCCTCTTTTCACACCACAGTCTCATTTCCCCCCTTCTTCTCTTTAAATTTATTTATTTATATATGCATGTGCAGGTTTGACAGCATGTATGTGGAAGTCTGAGGCCAGCTTACAGGAGCTGGCTTTGCCTTCCACTCTGTAGGTCCTGGTAATTGAACTCAGGTCGCCATGGCGGTAAGAGCTTTTTACCAGCTTTTACCATCTCACTAGCCCCATACCATACTTTCTTTTGGACCCCAAACTGTGCCCAAGGAGTCCCTCAGATAGGCAGCAATTTTTATTCCTGGAAAAGGTGCCCTGAGAAACCACACTATAACTCTTCCCAGGGCTATGTGGCTGTTTCCTGGAGTTGGGTGCACCCTGCCACAGACACCAGACACCCACGGGGGCTTTCTGGGGAAATCTGTCCCTTCAGCCTCCTGGGAACCTGGGTGTGGCTACCCCTGGCTGTGGTTTTACGGAAGCAGTGCCATAGGTTTCGGCAAACTCTGGTGTGTGAGAAATGTCAGCCCTGTGACTTTGCAATCACACCCTGATCATGTGGCAAGAACCCATGCTTGTGACTTTAGGTAGTCAGGATCCGTGGAAGGTTCATTAGGCAGGGGTTGATTTTTCCGAGGCCTGCTCTGGGTCTAGAACCCATATGAATGTGAGCCCATTTGTAATCTTCTAACGACAATGCCACCTATTTTCTATGTGGGCCCACTGAGGCCAGACAGGCCTAGGCCTGTGCTAAGGTCACACAGCCAATACAGGGCAAAACCCAGGTGCAGACTTGGACTCAGAAGAACCCGTGTGTCCCTGTGCCCAGTCCCAGGGTTGCTGAGAACAACATGGGGCATGACTGGAGACTCACTGTTAAGGACTTTAATCTTGGGAACCTCTCTATAAAGTAGCAGTGACTGTAGCACATGGAATTATGGGAGCTGGTTAATGCAAACTTTTGGCTCCATCTGAATGATTATTTTGTGTTGTTCTGTCCTTTGCCTGTCCTGGCACCCTGGCTCACCCCCTCCTCCCTGACTGTCCCCACAGATCATTACTGGGACTTCCCCACACACCACGTACACAGCGAGTTTGAGAGCTTCCCTGAGAACCACTTCACGGAGCTGCAGAGTGTGCAGGCCCCACAGCTGCAGCAGCTCTACCGTCATATGGAGCTGGAGCAGATGCACATCCTCGATACCACCATGCCACCGCCCCACGTCAACATTAACCACCAGGTGCGTGCTTATGGCTGTCCTCCGTCCCCTGGACCTCCAGGCCTGTGGTGAGGCATGGAAGCTTCACAGGAAGCTAACATAGGCTCTTACTCAACATGGCTTCCTGCTCCGCAGAGCCAACGGCAGCTGGTACCCCAACGGCTGTGCTGACCTCCTGATTGACCTTATGAAGCCATACCTTTATCTCACAGAGAATGGACAAACTCCATATGGCCCCCAGCCCTCAGCTGTCTTTTCCCACCCATTCCTGTTTGTGGGCCCTTAGGGTCCCACTGACTCCAGTCCCTATTCACTATCTCTTCATGAACCCAGTATCTGAGCCACTGAATGCCACCCTCTACTGACTTCCTGGCTCCCCATTAATCTTCATTGCTGGCCCTTCCCTGCTCCAGGGACCCTAACCCCAACCAGCAATGTCTGTCATGCCTCACTGACTTTCACTGTCTTTTCATTGACTCAGCACCCTCTTCTTAAGCCCTACTCACTTCCTTATAACCAACTCCCTGCTCCCCAGCACCCCTCCTTCCCTAGTGCACTGTCAGGCCAGGCGGCCCCTTGGCATGCATGAGAATAAAGTATGCTCCCGCCTGCCCCAAACCAGAGGCTGCAGGGGGAAGGCTGGTAGGCTCAACAACTAGCGTGTACCATCACCTGCATCCCTGAGTTCTGGTCCAGACTAGCCTCTAGTTTTCCCTTCTTAGTATTCCTGCCCCTGCTGGCCACGCTGGCACTCTTTCTGTCACTCAGCCCACCCCTGCTGCAGCTCTGGGTTATCCCTTCTTGCCTTCTAGTCCATCATTTATTCTCTTTGCAGGTTCCCTACATGTCCCGGCTGTGCCACCCTTACCAATCCCTGTCCCCAGCCCACCAGCAGAGCTCAGATGATGAGGAGGGTGAGAGGCAGAGCCCCCCATTGGAGGTGTCTGATGGAGAAGCTGATGGCTTGGAGCCTGGGCCTGGTCTTCTGCATGGGGAGACAGGTAGGGCCCAGCCCCTGATCCAGCTGATCCTAACTGCATTTACAACCCTTGCATATCCCTAGCCAAGGCCAACTGGCTCAGAAGCCGTGTTTCAGAGCGTTCTCCCTCTCCCTCTCTCTCTGTATGCTTGTGGATGATTCTACTGTACAAGTCTCTGAGTCTGTGTTGTGAGTGAACAGGCATCTCGTTCAAATTTGAGGGCTTGTGTGTGTGCATCAGTATTATGTGAGTGTGTGAATGGAGACCTTGTAAGTATATGTGAAGGCCTGTGAGCGTGGGGCTTGTGAGCATGTGAATTCCTATGATTGTGAGGGCCTGTGGATGTGTATAAAGTCCTGTGAGCGTGTGTGGGCCTATGGATGGTGAATTTGTGAGGTCTTGTGAGTGTGTGAGGTATTCTAAGTGTGTGTTTGTGAATGTGTGAGTGCCTATATGTGGGGGCCTGTGGATAGGCATGTAGATATGTGAGAATAGATATATGTATGGATGGATACTTGTGACATGTAGGTGCAGGGACATGTATGCATAGAGGGGTGTGAACGTGAGTGGGAGTAGGTACGTATGTGCTTGCACCTACCAGGGTCAGGAGGGGCTGCTGGGAGGGTTCCTGGAAACTCCCTGCGTCCCGTCCACACCCCACCTGACTGCCCCTCTCCCGCTGCCAGGCAGCAAGAAGAAGATTCGCCTGTACCAGTTCCTGCTGGACCTGCTGCGCAGCGGCGACATGAAGGACAGCATCTGGTGGGTGGACAAGGACAAGGGCACCTTCCAGTTCTCATCCAAGCACAAGGAGGCGCTGGCGCACCGCTGGGGCATCCAGAAGGGCAACCGCAAGAAGATGACCTACCAGAAGATGGCGCGCGCGCTGCGCAACTACGGCAAGACCGGCGAGGTGAAGAAAGTTAAGAAGAAGCTCACCTACCAGTTCAGCGGCGAGGTGCTGGGCCGCGGAAGCCTGGCCGAGCGGCGCCTCCCGCCCCACTGATCTCCCGCAGAGCCCGCCAGGCCCCCGGCCCCCGCCGGCCATAGCATTAACCCCTCGCCGGGCCCGGACACAGGGAGGACATTCCCAGGGCCAAGGCAGGACTGGGGGCCCGGCCTCGCCCTCCCACGCCTGGCCCGTCCCGCCTCGCTTCGCCTCCCACCAGGACTCTAGCCCGGCCCAAGGGCCACCTGGGCCTCGGACCCCACCCGAGGGTCAGTCCGGCTTAGTGGCCATGGTGCTTCCTTGGGAGTCTGGCGTCTTTGTATATTGATTGCTCTTTTTAAGGCTCTTCCTCTCCCCACCTCCCCCACCCATTAGCCTCCCAAAGAGAAGTAAAATTATTCTCAGCTATTCTCCCAGCGCAGAGTCTCATTCAAGAGTTTGTGTGTGCCTGGTCCAGGGTGCACTCCCTGTGCACAGATGTCTTTCTTCTCATTTGTGCAGAGGACATGTAGCCAAAGCTGGAGTGGAGTTATGGGGACCAGGGACACACAGAGGTTGTTTCTAGTGAAACTAGTCCCAGGCTGTTAATCAATGGCAGGGATGATATCCAAAGGCTGTCTGCAGCAGGGAGGCTGAAGTCTCAGTGAAGCCTGAACTCATGATCTTCTGAGTTAGACATGACAAGATAGCGATGGTAGTGATAACAACGTCAATAACACAGGTGTTCTGATCCCTTGGCATCTGTCAGCTTTGAGGTGGGGGTCCAAAGTTTCCCCATTTATAGAACAGGAAACTGAGGCTCGAAGTAATTAAATAGCTGGTTCAACGTCACACAGCCGAGGAATGGCCCTGCAGGTACATTCCAGGGCTGGACACTCCAGTGCACGGTGGAAACCCTGCCTATCTGGAAGAGGAAATGCATCAATTGAGTCCAAAGCTCCAGGCACCATGCAGTATTCTGGCGTTGCATGTATGAGCCTAGCCTTTACAGGTTGAACCACCTATCACAGACCCCCCACACAGTCCTTCCTTCAAAGCGTTTGCTCCCAGGGGAGCACACAAGGGATTTCTGTAAACATCTTGCTTCATGCAGGTGGTGTAGGCAGAATGGTAGCAGACAGTGACTGAGAAAATTTCCCAAAGCAGTCTGTACACCTTGGGAAAGACAGACCCCAGGGATGTGATTGTATGGGGAAAGACCCCTGCACACCTCCTGGACCTGTGTGTTCCTCTACATGGAGCTCCCTAGACAGGCTGCAGAACCTCAAGAGAAGGCTATGGGATATGATCTAGGGATAAGCCCAGTGGTAGAGCCATTGTTAGTTTTTTCTTAGTGTGTGTGTGTGTGTGTGTGTGTGTGTGTGTGTGTGTGTGTCTGTTTTTTTCTTTTATTTTTTAAAGATTTATTTATTGTGTATACTGTTTATTTATTATGTATACTGCCTATATGTATGCCTGCAAGCCAGAAGAGGGTGCCATATCTGATTATAGATGATTGTGAGCCACCATGTGGTTGCTGGGAATTGAACTCTGCATCTCTGGAAGAGCAGCCAGTGCTCTTAACCTCTGAGCCATCTCTCCAGCCCATGTCTGTTTCTTCAAGACAGATTTCTCTGTATAACAGCCCTGGCTATCCTGAAAATCTTTGTAGACCAGGCTGGTCTTGAGCTCACAGAGATCCACTAGCCTCTGCCTCCCAAGTGCTGGGATTAAAGGCATGTGCCACCACCACTCATCAGATGAGCCTATCAGAGTTTGTTGTTGTTTTGTTGGTTTGTTTTTTGATTTTTTGAGATAGGGTTTCTCTGTAGCTTTGGAGCCTGTCCTGGAACTCACTTTGTAGAATCTGCCTGCCTCTGCCTCCCCAGTACTGGGATTGAAGGCGTGCATCACCACTGCCCAGCTGTTTTTTGCTTTTTGTTTTTTTTTTTTAATTGTGTTTTAATTCATTCATTGTGTGTGTGAGTATGTGCACACGTACCACATCCTGTATGTGGAGGTCTGAAGACAACTTGCAGGAGTCAGGTCTCTCCTTCCCCCAGTGGATCCCAGGGATTGAACTCAGGTCATCTGGCTTGGCAACAGATACCTTTACCAACTTGAGCCATCTTGTTGGAGTCTCTTAAGCATCAGTTGTTTTGTTTTTAAAATTTATTCGACTTTATTTTATGTGCATTGGTTTGAGGGTGTCAGATTCCCTGGAAGTGGAGTTTTAGAAGGTTGTGAGCTGTCATGTGAGTGCTGGGAATTGAACCCAGGTCCTCTGGAAAAAGCAGCCAGTGCTCTTAACAACTGAGCCATCTCTCCAGCCCCCAAGCATCAGTTTTTTAAAAAACATTTTTATTTATTGGGTTTTTTTTGAGACAGGGTTTCTCTGTATTGTTTTCAAGCCTGTCCTGGTACTCACTCTGTAGACCAGGCTGGCCTCAAACTCACAGATATCCACCTGCTTCTGCCTCCCAAGTGCTGGGATTAGAGGCGTGCACCACCAACACCGGCTTTTAAAAACATTTTTAGGTTTAAAAAAATATTTATGACCGTTTGCCTACATTTATGTATGTGTGCCATGCGTTTAGAAAAGGGTGTCAGGTTTAAGCTCTACTACAGAGCTATAGTTCTGAAAACAGCCTGGTATTGGCATAAAAATAGACAGGTAGACCAGTGGAATCGAATTGAAAATCCTGATATTAATCCATGCACCTATGAACACCTGATTTTCAACAAAACAGCTAAAATTATACAATGGGGCAAGGACAGCATCTTCAACAAATGGTGCTGGCACAATTGGATGAGGGTGTGTAGAAGACTGCAGATAGACCCATGTCTGTCGCCATGCACAAAACTCAAGTCCAAATGGATCAAAGACCTTAACATCAATCCAGCCACATTGAACCTCTTAGAAGAGAAAGTAGGAGGTACCCTTGAACAAATTGGTATAGGAGACCGCTTCTTGAACATAACTCCAGGGGCACAGACACTGAAAGAAACAATTAATAAATGGGACCTTTTCAAACTTAGAAGCTTCTGTAAGGCAAAGGACACAGTCGACAAGACCTAACGGCAGCCCACAGACTGGGAAAAGATTTTCACCAACCCTATATCCGACAAAGGGCTGATCTCCAAAATACACAAAGAACTCAAGAAACTAGTCAACAAAACACCAAATAACCCTATTAAAAAATGGGGTACAGAACTGAAGAAAGAATTCTCAATGGAGGAAATCAAAAAGGCTGAAAGACACTTAAGAAAATGCTCCACATCCTTAGCTATCAGGGAAATGCAAATCAAAACAACTTTGAGATACCATCTTACCCCTGCCAGAATGGCTAAAATTAGAAACACCAGTGATGACTTATGTTGGAGAGGATGTGGAGAAAGGGGAACACTCCTCCACTGCTGGTGGGAGTGCAAACTCATACAGCCATTTTGGAGATCAGTATGGCGGTTCCTCAGGAAAATGGGAATTAGTTTACCACAGGACCCGGCAATCCCCCTCTTAGGCATATACCCAAAGGATTCACATCCATGCAACAAAGACATCTGTTCAACTATGTTCATAGCAGCACTATTTGTAATAGCAAGAACCTGGAAGCAACCTAGATGCCCCTCAATTGAAGAATGGTTAATGAAGATGTGGCACATCTACACAATGGAATACTACTCTGCAGAAAAAAATAATGGTATCTTGAAATTCGCAGGCAAGTGGATGGCACTTGAAGAAACCATCCTGAATGAGGTAACCCAGTCACAAAAAGAGGAACACAGTATGTACTCACTCATATATGGATTTTAGACCTAGATCAAATGATCACCAGCCTATAATTCACATCACCAGATGAACTAGGATACAAGGTATATGCTAAGAGATTCATATAAAGTCCCTCACAGAACTGGGAAGGGACAAGTCCCCCAGAGCTCAGGTGAAGTGGGGGAAGACAGTGAATGGAGAGAGAAGTAGGAGAAAATGGCGGGGGGGGGGGGGGGGGGGAGAGGAAGGCATGTGCGACCAGGAGGATTGAGCCTGGTTAGGAATGGAAGATAGGAAAGAGAGAGAGACAGAGACAGAGACAGAGAACATAAAAGAGGGAGCCAATATTGGTTTGAAGATAAAATTGAACACAAAGAAAGGTTGAGAGAACTACAAGACTGCTCCCAACTAACAATCTCAGCTTCCGTGGAAAGGCTATCATAAATGTCCTTCCCGGAGAGTGAGATCAACAACTAACTTCTCCATGGAGCCCTCAACTAATGCCTGTTGAAAATAGGAGCAAACACCCATACATAAACACTGAGTCGAACTAGAACCCAGAAGCAGATGGAGAGGACAAGACCATGCGGCAGAAGCACATAGAGACAGCTTACCTGAACAAGGAGGAGCTAACGGGCCCCCAGACTGATAGCTGGGAAGCCAGCATGGGACTGACTCAGGCCCCCCTGAATATGGGTCTCAGCCAGAAGGACTGAGCAGTCTAAGAGACCTCAGACAGTGGAGCCAGGATGTATCCCTGGTGCACAAAAGGACTTTGCGAACATATCCCCCATGGAGGGATAACTGCCTTAATCTAGAGACAGGAGAGAAGCCCTAGTCCCTACTTCACATGACCTGTCAGATCTACATGACCCCAACTGGATGGCATTCCCCTACACATGGAATTGGGGTGGGGGGAGGGGAGGGGAGGTGTTTAGAGTGCATGTGAGAGGGCAGAGAGGGTAAAAGAAAGGGAGAGAGGGAGGATTGGGGGGGAGGGAGGGAGGGAGGGAGGGAGAGGGAACTGGGATCGACATGTAAAACAATAAATTAAATTAAAAAAATGCTTTGACTCCAAAATTTAAGTTGAAGGACAAGTTACTGGGGAAAAGGATTTCTATTTTTGTTTCCACAGAAAATGAAAAGATGTGGATTCCTTCCAGACTAATGAGGTTTGATCACGCCAGACCGCCTGAAACAGAGTACAAGCTGATCCTACATTCAAAACAGCTGGACAAAACAGCCCTACAGACTACAGCCAGGATTTCTGAATCTTCTTCGAATCCCCCAAGACAGTGCCCCTTACCAGCAGGAAGTAGCTTGGAAAGAACGACGCCCAAATTCCAAAATATTGTGTATAAATGTTTGTTTTCATTTAATTGGACTTTGTTATATAAAATTAAATAAAATAAAAAAAATAAATATAAAAAAAAGAAAGAAAAGGGTGTCAGGTACCCCTGAAGCTGGAGTTACAGTTACAGTTACAGTGAGTAAGATACTGTATGGGTGCTAGGAATGGAACCTGGATTCTCTGCAAGAGCAACAAGTGCTTTTAACCTCAGAGGCGTCTCTCCAGCCCTGTACCAGTTCTCTGGAAGACTTAGATAGGCATAGTGGTGTATGCCTGGAATAGCAGCACTTAGGAGGTTGAGGCAGGAGGATTGTCAT